GTGCAGAGCCAGGAGTAACCCTGAGCACCACTGGGTGTGGCCGAACAAGTATGTTCATAGCTGTTCGTGGCCAGCTGTGACCCCCCCAAAAAAATTCCAGAACAAATCATCTATGCATTATGCAGGTTAAATCGAGCCATAGCCTGTCAAAATTCCTCTGGGAGGAGCCACAGAGGGTGAGTTTCAGGAAGCATAATTCACCAAGGGGCTTGGGGAGACTTGCCCTGCGGATGATCAGTAGCAGTGGCAGAACACGCGGTGGGGGGGAGGCAGAGACCTTGGGACTGCGGGGAGGAAGTGGGAGAGCAGGAAGCCCAATGCTGACCAGTGGTATGGGATAAGGGGAAGAGTCTTGCTGGGTTTGGAAACAGCATTTGGTGCCAAATCCTAAGGGCTAAAATGGTCATCTAATAATCTCTAAAAGAAAAATAAAGTTGAAACTCTCCCAGTCCCATTTTGAAAACTTAGTACCAGCTTGAGGTAGGGTGGCCATGGCCTCAAGAGAGCCCAGCAACACCGAACTGAGAGTCTGGAAGTCGCCCTCACGTCCATGCCAGCTGATACTTAACTAAGGTGCTAAGAGCAGGCAGTGGGGCAAAGCCATACCACTAGTGGCTTTTGGTTTTGTTTTGTCTTTTTGATTTTTGGGTCACACTGGCTACTCGGATTACTCCTGGCTCTGTGCTCAGGAATTACTCCTGATGGTGCTCAGGGGATTGAACCTGGGTTGGCTGCATGAAAGGCAACTTCCCTCCCCATTGTACTATCGCTCCGACCCCAAGACCCCAAGGTTTTGTGTTTGTTTTGAGGTATTTTTGGTGTGGCGTTGTACAGGGAATTAAACCCTTGAGGACAGTTCTATCTCTACTCCCTGAATAGTGTTTTTAATGCACAGTGCTGGGACAATTGAATAACCATGGACAAAAGATAAAGGACTTTTTTTTTTTTGCTTTTTTGTGGGGGGTCACACCCAGCTTTGCACAGGGCTTACTCCTGGCTCATGAACTCAGGAATTACTCCTGAAGGTGCTCAGGGGACCATATGGGATGCTGGGAATTGAACCCAGCATTTTCTTGATTGTACCCCAAAACCAATTCATGGGCAGCCATAAATAGTTCTTAGACCAAATGATATGTCTTCATAGGAGATCCCGGCCTTAGGTTTCTCAGGCAAACACCAACTGTGCAAGCAACAGATGAAAGAAAAAATGGGAAGTTGGGGGCCAGAGAGTGCATGGAGCCGGTGCTTAGTGTGTGGAGGTCTGGGGTTCAAGTCCCTGAACACTGGGCAGGATGCCAGCAGACAGGCTCGTCACCAGGATGCAGTGGGCCTCTGCCTTCCTGTCCCATCCATCTTCCTGGTTCTCCCAGACAGCTCCCCTTTCTTCCCTCTCACCTTCCCCACTGACTCACCGATGCTGGGGTTCCTGAATCACTTCCTTTGAGGCACCCAGTACGTGCTGGGGTCTTTCAAAGAGGGGGTGCAGGAAGGAACAACCCTTAAGCCAACCCCCACACCACAGGCTTCTGGATCGAGACCAAGTAGGCAAGTCCTTCTGTTTGTTGTGGTCTGTCTCTGCCTTTATCTCCACCTGCTGTTACCCGGAGTCTGCCTCTGGATCTCTGAGAATCCACAGAGATGTACAGCGATCTAAAGGCCTTAGTTACATACACCTATATCTACACACAGAGACACACGCCCGCATGTGGTTTATGTTTTGGGTTTCTATTCTTCAGGAACCCAGCCGTTGGTGCTCGGGGCGTACTCTATTACTCTATGGTCGGGGGTCACTCCTGGGGGGGGCTTGGAGGACTAGACTGGTGCCTGGGATAGAGCCAGGGTCGGCATCGTATGCTCCTACCCTTGTATTCTCTTGGCCCTCGTGGTGGTTCTGTGTTTTGGTTGGTCGGTCACACCCAGCGGTGTTCAGGGTTAACTAGGGGACCACTCCTGGCACTGCTGGGAACCTAGGTGGGCGACATGCAAAGCAAACGCCTTCCCTGCTGTCCTCTCCCTCTGGCCATGGATGTGTGTTTGTAGACAGCAAAGTCAAAACCCTGCAGTTGCGCCCCGGGAATCCCGCTCCAGAAAGGACCTTGCCTTTCCACACAGCCGCTGCTCAGGCCATGCTGCATTCCCCCAGCAGCCCTGGGGGGACCCCACCTCTCCAAGGGGCTCCCTAAAGGCCTTCACAGCTGGCTGGCGCCCTGGGTCATCGTGCCCCCTGCGGCTCCAGACCCCAGCCCAACAGCTTGACTTTTATTTCCGGCTCCACTTAGTTGGGGGGCGGGGCTGTGGCTATGCCCTGCTTTGCTCGGAGTCCTCTGGGCTGGAGGTTGCTATCGGCAGTGCTGGTGCGGGCACCCACCCAGGGCCTCCTGCATACAGGTCAAGGCCTTGGCCTGGTGCTTTCTCCGTCCCCCGAACCTGTTTCCATCCTGGCGGGATAGTGGGGCCGTGTGTTTCCCCAGCCATTCCCGTGGACTCAGTCTGCTGTGCTCCCTGGCTTTTCTCTGCCTTTCCCTACAGGGCCGAGTAAGAGCAGTTGTCAGCCTTTCAGATCACTTATGTTCTTCTCTCGCAGTTTCCACTAAGGTTTGTCAAATGGCCATATTCCTTTTTCTTAGAACTGCGGAAGAAGTCCTCCTGATAAAGTGGATTTCTTGTCTCTCTGAGTCTAAAAAGGGAAGCAAGATTAGAGTCTAGACAGCGTTGGGCATGAGGGACTTCACTTTCACTTCGGTTTGTCCTTGCTGCATTTCAGGGAGAAACTGGCCCTGGGCCAGGCCTGAGCTCCTGGATTGCTCAGACTGGCGGGAGAGGCTTTGGGCCACTTCCAGGGATGTCTAGTGGCTGTTCCTGGCTCTGTGCTCAGGAGGACCCTTCGGCGGTGCTCAGGGGATGACCACGTGTGGTCTGAGTGCAAGGGGGCATTGGGGCTGGCCACGGAAGTCACCTTCCCCATTGTACCGTGTCTCCAGTCCCTCAATTTCTCAGACACCTTTCCTGGGAGGGTAGAATCTTACAGATTCTTCAACAGAGGCCCATAACACAGCCCAGATTTCCTTTCAATACCCATTTTTATTAAGCCGCAGAAACAAGGTATTAGCCCAGTAAAGGCTTGTAATTGTGACCAGCATTAAGGCACAAGTGTGAGTTGTCCAGGGCTTGTCACTGGAGGGAGGACTCATGGTTCTTGGATGCTGCTGGGAATTCTTGCGGCCGTTCTTCCTGGGAGTGGACACCAGGGGTGACAATGCAGCGACTTGCTAGGGGCCTCAGAACCCCAAGAGTTCCATTATGTGTCAAGTGCGTTAGCATAATAAATCACAGTATCTTGCACTTTCTGCCAGGCCACCTTTAATGCTTCACATGCACTTATTCATGCCTTCAAATATTTCTCAGACACCCTCTGTGCTAGGAGCACAGGACAGCGCACAGATATCCCTGTGTATCAGGCTTTGCTAAATCTGCCCCAGAACCTTGTGAAGCCGATATTACAGATATACCTCCGTTGGAGCAAGAAACAGAAGCTAAAAGTGGTTTCAGAAAATCTGTCCCAGAATGAGGGAAAATGGGGCAGAACAGTGGGGCAGGCCAAAAGTATAAACGTTAATGCTGCTGTATCCATTTACACCATAATAGCAAAATATTAAAAAGAAAAATATTTCTGTCTGCAGATCACACATCTAGTGATGAAACTGGAATTATTATTACTTTTTTTTTAGGTATGGGGATTGAACCCAGGGTCTCACACCTGTCAGGCAAGGACTCACCCTGTAGTGCAGGCCTGGTTCCCCCCACTTCGCCACCCACCCCCAGCGTGTTTAAAGAAATCTGGGATTTTAACTTAGATCCATCTGTCTTTCTTCAGTCCAGACTTTTCTTCTGTGTAGCGCCTCTGAGAAAGGAAATCAGAACGACAGCCCCTGGGGTATGGGGATCAAAGAGCCCCAAATTGGTGGCACCGTCAAGGGAGATGACCCTGGGAATGGGAGAAAATGCAAATAAAGGAGCGAGTGCCTTTCACCTCTGGGATGAGCTGAGGTTGGTTGGGACATCACCAGTCCCCCTGCCCCCTACAGTGCGGGGCGGGGGGGGGGGGGGGGGGGCAGCCCATCATGGCATAAATTCTTCTTGATTGCCGGGCTTGTGGACTTGTCAAAGGACCGACACGCGTGGGGACATTCTGGCACTGAATCCTGTGGTAAGAGGGCAGCGTTGGGTTTTGTTTGCCAAGAACCACTGAAAGGGTAAAGGTCACTCACTCCCTTCTTGCTCCACCCTCCAAAAATAGTCGTACCGATTAACAGTCCCTGGAGGCAAAGGGACATGGGTTTGGCACAAGTGATGGATTCAGTAAGTTATGTGAAAAATGAATGAATGAATGAATGAATAATCCAACCCACAGTCACATCCCCAGCAATCAAAAGCCAGTATTACACTGGCCAGTGGGTCGGGGGTTAGGGGGACTGGTAGTGTTTCAAGTGCTTGGCTTCCACAGAGGGGAGAAAAAGAAAAACAGTGCTGAGGGGTTTTTGTTGTTGTTTTTTTGTTTTTGTTTTTTGATGATAAACACCCCTCATCACCTCATTACCTTTTTGAAATGTGAAAACTGGGTTGAGGGTCAGGAGTCGGGGGAGTGTGGAGCCTCAGAGAGTCCAAGCAGACTGTTTTGCTGTGGTTCTCCTTGCACTGCCCACAAGAGGGGCCAGATCTTGGTCCTCAAGATACCCCAATCTAAAGAGCTTCCCTCAGCCTCAGTACAGTGATCCCTGTACTGAGCAACTGTATCTTCGTTGCGTTTCAGTTTTCCAAGAGAAGCAATAATTTAAAGGCTGAGGATGGTAAATGCTGGTAAGTCATTAAGTTCACCAAAGCCCCGGAGAGAACATGAACAGGAACTGTTTACTCAGCCGTTTAAAGTTCCAGGGGAGCTGAGCACTCCCCCATCCCCACCCCCACCCCACCAATGCGCGTGCAGCCCCCACCTTCCCAGTCACCATGTACCTGCATCCAACTTGCTTCTGAACCGGAAACTTCCCAAAAAGCACCGGGACCTGCTTTTCGTTTCCCAGTTTCCAGTAAGAGAGAGAAGGCTGTCGCTAAGCCAGGCTGGCATGTGAAACTCTGTCCTCCCCCCAAGCCCCCCCTAGAACGACTCATTTCTAAGCTGCCTCCTTGAGTCCACGTGTCTGTTTACCTCGGTGCCATTCAGCACATCTCCAGACCCAACCGCACATCTGCTGTTCTCTGGAAGGCATTTGCCACGCCCCTCGCGACACAGGTTGGAAATGGGCATTTCCTCCGGTCGCGTCGGGACTCGTGCGGAGCGCTGGGATATCAAACGCCGGATTTTGAGCTTGGTGTAGAACTTGGGGAACGAGGGGCTTGAGAAGTAATACACCAGGGGGTCCAGCATGCTGTTCATGTAGGTGAAGCTGAGCGTCACATGCAGGGCCACGTGCACCGAGGGGTCGCAGGCGCTGGAAGGCACCGTCCACAGAAAGTACAGCCTAGCCGACGCACTGGGCAGATAGCAGGTGACGAACACCACAGCCACCACGATGATGAAGCGGGTGGCCCTCTTCATCCGGGCCTGCCGGGCCAGCTGCCGCCGTTGCTTCAGGCTCCAGATTATCCTGAGGGTGCAAAATAAGATGATGCCGAGGGGCAAGAAGAACTCCAGCTGGAACATGATGTCGTGCCAACCATTGGCTGACTCCATGATGAAGCTCTCACAGGCAACTGTCTTGTCCTGCACACACAAGTGATTCTCCATCAGCAGGTACAGCGTCCCCAGGACGACCAGTGCCCACAGGGCACAGACCACGGCGACTGCCGTGCGGTTGGACATGGCATTCACCACGTGATGCGGGTGTACCACCCTGAAGTACCGGTCCACGGCCACCACTGTGAGGAACACGATGCTCCCGGCCCGGCTCATGGCCAGCAGGAAGAGCACCAGCCGGCACGGGATGTCCTCGAAGGCCCACTGGCGGCGCCGGCGATAGTAGTCCGTCCGGAAGGGCAGGCTGACCATGAGGAGGAAGTCAGCCACGGCCAGGTTGAAAAGGTAAATGATGCTGGGTTTCCAGGTCTTCGTGTGGAAACAGAACCCACACAGTGCCAGCCCGTTGCCCAGGGCCCCAAGCACAAAGGCCAGGATCAGCAGCGGGGGCATCACCTGGGCAATGGGGTCGCCCTCGATGAGGCAGCAGGAGCCGTTGTCCATGCTGGCCAGGGGACACGCGTACTGAGAGACGGGGGTCCCCTACCACACAGGCAGCTGCTGCTTCTTGGATGCCCTCATAGGGCACAGGTACTGGCAGACACACGTGAGAGGCCCCGGGTGGCCCCTTCTCCGGGGCAGGGTCACGCCGAGGGAGAGCGTGTGCCCCCGGCTGCAGTCACTCAGGGCAGGAGGCCGATGGGTCCATGAGCTTTATGCTGCAGAGGCAGTGTTGGGGGCCGCCCCAACTGGGTTTTGCTTTCAGCCTCGCTGTGCGCAATCGCCGCGCTGCCCAGAGCAGAGGGGACGCGTGTTTGTCCTCCCTCCCGGTGGAGAAATACAAACATTTCCTGGAGCCGATCAGGGCCTCTGCCTTCGCTTTCCTCCCCTAACCTTTGCCTGACTGCCCTGTCCCCTCCCTCCCTCCCTCTCATCCCATGGGGCGCTCCCAGGCACTGCCGAGGGGGGAGGCTGTGCTCACAGCTTCTCAGAGCCATTTCCGGTACCCCCCCCTCACTCCAATGCAGAGCTCAGAAATGGGAAGGGTCCACAGAGGAAAACGTTCTAAGAATAACATATGTTGTGTATTAGCAAAATTCTTTGTCATGAGCCTCTTGCCTCCCCTCCAATCTTTGCCTCTCCTTGGCCCCAAGTGGCCAGTTGCACAACCAGCGAGACCATGAAATGGATGGGAAGCTGCTTCCCATGTCTCTGTCCGCGACGTGGAGCCCGGGTGTGTGCAGACGGGGCTGGGCTCCGACTTCCCCCTATCTGATCAAAAGAGCCAAACTCCAGGATTTGTATGTTTTGAACTTGAATCACGCGCTGAGCCCATGGTTGGGGTGAAGGGGGGTTGGGGCAGTTGGTCAAGGGGGTGTGTCTGTCTCTGGGGAAAAACATCCTGGGGAGGTTAGGCTGACCAGGGGCTCTGCTGGCGAGCCTGTGCACTCTTCCAGCTGCTGATGAGAGGGAGCTTCTCCCCCAGAATCCCGGGTTCCATTAGCACCCCCACGTGCCCCCCCTCCCTCACACCTGCCAGATGCCACACTGACCCTGCCATCCCATTGCAGCCATTGCAGCCTTTGGGAGAGTTTGCTTTTTTTTTTTTTTTTTTGCTTTTTGGGTCACACCTGGTGATGCTCAGGAATCACTTCTGGGGCTGGAGAGATAGCACAGCGGGTAGGGCATTTGCCTTGCACGTGGCCGACCCGGGTTTGATTCCCACCATTCCATACCGCCAGGAGTAACTCCTGAGTGCAGAGCCAGGAGTAACCCCTGAGCATCGCCGGGTGTGACCCAAAAAGCAAAAAAAAAAAAAAAAAAAAAAAAAGGAATCACTCCTGGCAGTCTCAAGGGACCATATGGGATGCTGGGAATTGAACCGGGGTAAGCTGCGTATAAGGCAAATGCCCTTCCCACTGGACTATCGCTCTGGTCCCAGAAGAGTTTCCCAACTGGTTTCCCTTCCCCTGGTCTTCTACAGATGATTCCTCTCGAACACTTGTGTGTCATGCTCCTAGAGCACAGAGACACATTCCCCCCCTGAGCCCCGTGACTCCCTGCTCCCCAGCATGACAGCCGCTGTTTGTGGCCAGGCTCTGAGAACCAATTGGACTCGGCTCACGTGTTTTAAAAATACGGGATGGGGCTGACGAGATAGTGTAGCGGGTTAGGCGCTTGCCTTGCATGTATGCTACCTGGATTCAATCCCCAGCTCCACATGTGGTCCCCTGAGTCCCTCAGGTGTGACCCAGCAAAAGAAAAAGAAAAAAAAACCAACTTGAGACTGTCCTATTTCTTTATTATTGGCCACACCCACTCTGCTCAGGCATACTCTTGGCTCTGTGCTCAAGGAATCACTCCTGCTTGGGCTCAGGGATCAAACCCAGGTTGGCCACGTGCAGGACAGGTGTCTTACCTCTGCCCATTGCTCCAACCCTGGGACTGTCTGTTCTTTTTTTTTAAAGCCAAACCTGGATTATTAGTTTCATAAAACAGACTGAGCCATCTGGCTGTGCTGGGCCTGCAGTCCACACAGGGATAGTCTCTGGTCCTGGAGATGGGGTCAAGGACTCTCCGTTTAACTGCAATCCCTACCCGTCCCTATTGCCTAGTCAGCTTTGTGCATTTGCCGCCTGGGACCAGTAGAATTTTGAGTTGGTCATCTCTGCTCTAGATTAAAGGTCACCTTCCTTGGATTGGCATATAAACCCCTTGTCCAGGGGTTTCCAGGCTGCCTGGGCAACCTCATTCTCCTGCCACTTTCTTTCAAACATGCTGCCTGTTATTCTTGTAACTTCCACTATTAGGTGTGTTTGTCAAGTGTCTGCATTGAGCTCGCCTACTAATCCAAGAGGTCCTGGGAGATTAAATCCATGCCCTTGACAGGAGGTGAGGGTCCGGGCTTTGCACTCAGGAATTACCCCCCGGTAGTTCTCAGGGGACCATAAGGGATGCTGGGAATCGAACCTGGGTCGGCGGTATGCAAGGCAAACACCCTACCCACTGTATTATCACTCCAGCCTGTCTGAAATGTTTTAAACAATGCTGGGGGATGGCTCAGTGGGCTGGAGTGGATGCTTTGCCAGCAAGAAGCCCAGGTTTTATCACTGCCCACTGCCTGGTCCCCCAAGCTCGCCTGGAAATGTCCGCCAGCACAGAGTCAGGTATAGCCCCTGACACTATTGGATGTGAACCAAAAGCCCAGAAAATAAAAAAAATTAAATAAAATTTTATTGCCGATCTTATTTTTATTCCTTGCTACTAGTTATATTTCCTGAAGCAACATGGAAGTTTTATTGTTTTAAAGTTGGCCTGCCTGGCAAGCTACCCGTGACGTATTCGATATGCCAAACACAGTAACAAGTCTCATGATGGAGACGTTACTGGGCCCGCTCGAGCAAATCAATGAGCAACAGGAGGACCGTGCTAAACCGTGCTAATGGGGAGGGGGGAGGGCTAGAGGAATAGCACAGCGGGTAGGGCATTTGCCTTGCACGTGGCCGACCTGGGTTCGATTCCCAGCACCCCATATGGTCCCCCAAGCATTGCCATGAGTAATTCTTGAGTGCAGAGCTAGGAGTAACCCCTGAACTGCATTGCCATGGGTAATTCCTGAGTGCAGAGCCAGGAGTGACCCCAGGTGTGACCTGAAAAGCAGAAAAAAAAAAGTAGGCACTGGGAAAATGACCGGAAGGATTTGGTCATGTGTCCCACTTTTTCGGGGTCTTGGGTCCATGGCACCATGGTGACCCCAAACCCTGCCAGGTGTAGCCCTGGTGGCCCCAAAGCTCCATTGGAGAGCTCCTGCTCTAAAAAATAGGGCAAATAAGCAAAACAAATGCTCTTCCTCTGAACCACATTCCTCCCCCTCAGCAATGCCTTTTTCTTTTTAACAGTTAATTAGCAGAGTCCGAGCAATAGTACAGAGGGTAGGGCGTTTGCCTTGCACGCAGCCTACCCAGGTTCAATCCCCGGCATCCATATGGTCCCCCAAGCACCAGCAGGAATAATTCCAGAGCACAGAGCCAGGAGTAACCCAAAAAGAAAAAAAAAATAAAGTTGATTTGCAGGAACTGGCTTTTTTCTGATTCTGTTTCATTTTCATCATCCTCTTGGGGGCCTCTGCCTTGACCGTGTTTACTGGCCCAGACCCCAGCAGGGCTTTAGCCCTTTGGGGTTCTCCCTGACCCCCTCAAAGACCCATCAGCACCACCCAGCTGGCTCCATCTGTCAGCACAGTTCCCTCTTTACCCGCGGGCTCCAGCATCCCGTTTCTCAGGCAGTTGCGTGGTTTCTCTGCCCTCATGGCTGCAACTGTGTCCAAGGTTCTGAGGAAGTAGGGCCCCATGGCCGGGTCCTCTTGGCTCCCATCTTGCTCCTCTTGGGGTCCATTCTCCAAGGTGCCCCTGGGGTGCTGTGGCCAGTTGAAGGCTCCCGTGGGTTCCTCTTGTGGCTGTCCGGGGATTCCAGATGAATGACAAGGAGAGAATGGCCTCCCACACATCCCCTCCCACAAGAGCCGAAACTAGGTCTGGTATCCAGAAACTGCCTTTTAGGGCCTAAAGGACGGAAGCGCGTGGTTCGCATGTGGGAACCCAAGGCTCAGTCTCCAACCCCTCATAACCCTCACTGGATGGGGGAAGCAGAGATCTTGTGCGGTGGCAGCTGGACACAGCCTGGGTTCAGTCCCCGGTCCCACGTACTGTCCTCTGCGTCCTGCCAGGAGTGATCCCTGAGCACTTCCGGGTGTGGCCTCAAAACCAAACAAAAAACAATGATGAAAAGTACCAGAGGAAGTCACCCCAACACCAATGGGTTTGCCTCCCCCAAAAAACAACCCAAACCAAAGGCTGTCTTTTCGGGGCCACTGGGCTTTCCCTTCTGTCACATCCTGGAAATACCTCTTTGATCAATGTCAGTGTGGCGCAGCACCTTCCAAAGTGATTTTCTTACAACATGGAAATGTTCCCTTTTTTTTTCCTGGTTTTGGGACCATAACCAACAGTGCTTAGGGGGTTCTGCCTGGCTCTGAACTCAGGGATCCTAGATCTGCTTGAGGGACCATTGGGATGCTGGGGATCGAACCCGGGTCAGCCATGTGCAATGCAAGCTCCTTCCCCACTGTACTATCACTCTGGCCCCCAATATGGAAATGTTCTGTCATTTACTTGTCATTGAGCACTTGGAATGGGACAGACAGGAGCTTTTTCAGTACAGCCTCATTTTCAATAACCACCATTTAAAAGCCACATGTGGGGCTGGAGAGATAGCACAGCAGGTAGGGTGTTTGCCTTGCATGCGGTTGACCTGGGTTCAATTTCCAGCATCCCATATGGTCCCCTGAGCTGTGCCAGGAGTAACCCCTGTGCATCGCTGGGTGTGACCCAAAAAAAGCAAAAATAAATAAAGCCACATGTGCGGGGGCTAGAGAGATATATTTCAGCAGGTAGGAAGCAGCTGGCCTTAGTTCGATCCCTGGCACCCCATATGGTCCGGCTGAGCCTGCCAGGAGTGATCCCTAAGTGCAGAACCAGGAGTAAGTCCTGATCACTGCTAGGTGTGGCCTTAAAAAACAAATCCCCAGCA